TTGTATTGTGTTGTATTGTGTTGTATTGTATTGTATAGTATTGATGCGTCGCATCTACAATGTTTTTGCGCTTTCTTGAATCCTCTGAACTTTGGAAGAGTGTAATTGACCTAATTGACCTGACCTTGTTGATTTCACAGAAATTAAACATTTAAGTTATTATTTTAGTTGACTAGCTTGCAACATTCTCAAGGGTGGATATTGCAATGGGGATGTAGCTCAGCGGTAGAGCGTTCGCTTTGCATGCGAAAGGTCCCGGGTTCGAGACCCGGCATCTCCAAACTTGTCATTTTAAACATCTTTCGAATAAACGTGATTTAGTAAATAATTTATATGCATATGACTCAGACTGCTGCGTTAAAACATTTCAAAATGTATAAGCCAATTTCCTGAATATCAACACACAATGACGTCACCGTTAGTTTGTTGACGTTTATTTTTGTTTACTTCCCGTGTAAACAAGCCAAGGTTAATATCTTTTTTCGTTTCCCACTTTTCATTCAAGTGTGTATTAAACATAGCCAATGAAATTCTCTACATGCACTAACTCCACACCAGGCGAATTAGTTGAATTTTAACTGTTAGCGTATGAAATTGCGATCAAACAAATAACTAAACAGCAAAACTTACCTAAAAAATACCCACGATGGCATCAACAAAAAACATCATAATTTTTTTTTTCTATTTTTTTTTTTTATAAACCTTATTTCCCCCCTAAATCACACATACGAACATGCTAACGTTAATAATTTCATTCAGGATCGTTCGAATACACCAGCGCCGTCCTATCGTACGGTCCTTAAATTCCTTTCCTATGTTCATTGAGGCCAAACAACTAACAAACTGTGTATATAAAACTTTGTTAACATGACACAGCTGTTACAATAGCTGGGTAAACTACAACAACAACAACAACAACAACAGCAGCAACCACAACAACAACAGTTTTATAACCAGATATATAACGACGACTTCAAACAACATCTATAAAAGCAGTTATATTACGGGGTGATAAAACTGGAACGATATTAATAATAGTAACAAAAAGGAATACTAATTTAACGGTAATTTTTTTTCAATTTTTACTACTACTGGTGCTGCTGCTTCTACTTTTACTACTACTACTACTATTGCTGCTACTACTACTACTTTTTCTACTACTACTACTACTACTAATACTGCTACTACTACTAATACTACTACTACTACTATTACTATTACTACTACTACTACTACTACTACTACTACTACTACTGATACTACTACTACTTCTACTACTACTAATAATAATAATAATAATAATAACGGGTAAGACTTTTATTTCAACATAAATATTTTAAATAATAATATTAATAAATAATAATAACAACAATAATAAATAAATAATAATAGAACTAGATGTCTGACACGCTGAGAACTTCAACTGGATCGTTCATATGTTCGGACACCACTTACCATAGCGAGCGTAGGAGTGATGATCTGATGACGGAGCAAGATGTATCCAAAGTCAGTGGCTCATTTTCATCTTTTTAATTATTAATTTAGCAATTAAATAAATAAATTAATTAATTAGTTTTAAATAAGGAATACTAATTTAACCGTGACTTTTATTAATTTTTGCTAGTGCTACTACTACTACTACTACTACTACTTTTACTGCTACTCTGCTACTACTACTGCTGCTGCTACTACTACTACTACTGCTGCTGCTCTGCTACTAATACTACTACTACTACTACTACTACTACTACTGCTACTCTGCTACTACTACTACTACTACTGCTACTACTACTACTGCTACTACTACTACTACTACTACTATTACTACTGTTACTCTGCTACTATTACTACTACTGCTGCTGCTACTACTACTACTACTACTACTATTACTAATCAATTTAAATTTTCATCGTTTCATGCCTTGTATGTCGCTACTATCTTTGCGTTTGACAGAAATTTCAATTTACGGAACCAAAAAAAATTCGCAAGTCATTTCAAAGTAAATGTCTTTCCAGAAGTTTCATATAAGTTAATCAGTTTCAAAATCATTAGTCCAATTTCTGCATAAAACTAAACGGGCAAATGAGATTGTTACATAAATTAATAGGTAAGACTGCTCTATTTTATATGATTTTATATATTTTATTTTAATTTGTTTGATATTGATTTATATCATTTGTTCTTTAATGGCAAAAGGGTAGAACTGTATAGTCATACATTATAAAATGTTCATTTTTAACTACTCATAGGCACTTGAAAAATAGTAAAGAGTTAAGAATCAAATTCATTGTTTTTGTTTGCGTATATTAAAAACTTTCAAATTTACTTACAAAATTTGTTTCTTAAATCCTTGCCGAATTCATTCAGTCAAAAGATTGGTACAAGTTTCAAATTGACAAGAACCGTCCTTCGAAAAGAATTTTCTTCGAAGATTTCAAAATGACTCCCGCTGTCTACGTCCTAGGTACAGAAATTTCAACATCCAAAGCCACAAAATTTCGTTCCTTTACATTCTTACATTTAGAGTTAAGTTTTTTTTCCGATAGGCCAACGTTTTGCACATACTACATTATAAAATTACATGTTATATTCATTATATAATACATATTCACATTTTTGAAATAGTTCATTGATAAAGCAAAAGACACATGGTAAATAATATTTATAAAAAAAATACATTTCTACATTAGCGGCATAATATGACAAACGAATAATGAAATTGGGTTAAATTTTTGTAACTTAGGCGGGAAGGGTGGAAACATCAACTCCAATGAGGAGTGGTCTCAGGATGACGGAAAGCAGGTGTGTTGTTGCCACATGACGTCATTTCCGTCTGTTTATTTCTCATTGAACGATTGTGAATAATTTAAAAAAAATGATGCAAGTGGAGTGTAAATTGTGAATTGTTAGTATAGAATATATATTTTTAATATTCTGTATTTTTGTAACAAATCACCGCACTAGATCAAACTGACCTACAAAGAATCGCCATCAAAACTGGTGATGTTTTTTATAAATTTGTTTGGCTTTACTAATAAAATATTCTTATTTTGAAAAACTACTTTGTTCTAAAAATGTATTTAAAAATAATTTAAAGTCAAAACTATCAAATTTTCGTTATTTAGTTTTATGAGATTTATTCTTTCGAAAAGCACATCCAACCGAAACACAACGCATTGACTGTCATTTATTTCAGTCCTAAACTGAATCACAATAACAAGCTTCATCCATCCATTTATACACTCGATATTATTAACAAACTTTGATTGAAAATGATCAACAAATTAATTTTCACAAAGTGCGCCAAAAAGACGCAAGGTTTGAACTCGTTCGACAAAATTTTCGGCGGCGTGATTGAAATGCTGAACAACGAAGAGCCGTTCCTACCAAAGTTGAAAACCGCCGACGAAACAACTGCATCAGAAACCTCCAAAATGCTCGCTCCTTTCATTCCTGGATTGGGAAACGTGAAGAAGCCACACCCGAAACGCCTGGAAGAGGATTTGCAGACCAAGCAGAGATTGCTGCAGACTGGTGTGGAAGAAGAATCTGATGAAGTGAAGCGTGATCTGTTGAACAGAACACATAAGAAGAAACTCAGCCAGGTTAGGAAGTACAAGGAAGCAGACATCTTCTGGAAAACTGCCTTTCGTGAGCAAGTTGTTGAACCTGGAACTATCTTGGGTGTTGAAAACGTGTTGCCGCCAGATTTCAGAAAACTTCCGAAATTAAATAAATTTGTTGCTCAAAGTGATTCATCAATTGCTCAGTCGGCAATATCAAAAAACTCAAGGAATGAAATATACAAAGAACCAATTTCTGTTATTTCGCCGCGGATGATGAGAAAAATCTACGGAAGCAAAAATTATGCTGAAAGTCTAATTTCAGCTGACGCAAGCTCTGTCACAGAATCTACTCGCAGTAAAATATTTTTTATTTGACTCGAATGTTTTTTTAAATAGATTTTAAATTTTCATTTAATTATCAATCTTTTAAAGTTTTTGTTACGCTCATTGTGTGTATACTGTTTTTATCCTACTGTTCTTCCAATGCGATCTTTTTGCTTATCTTTACGCATTTATTTATTCATTCATTCGTTCATTCAATTTTACGATGTAGTTGGCGCCAAGCAAATACTACAACAGCTGGCAAAAAGAAGAGAAGCCTTGGATGAAAACAATAAGCCGAAAAAATCTGGACTGGAGAGGAGTGAAAGTTTGTGGTATAGGAAAAACATCACTGCCAACCAGTTCATGAGTCGGGATGTGTGAGGAAGGATCCTTGTTACTTTGCCATTCCTGCTCCCTCCGCTCAATCCCAATCCGTGAATTAGATTCATGGAGAGTTTACTTAACAAAAAGAACACATCAGTAAGTTAGGCATTTAAAGATGTCCACAAAAAACATAAACTATAAAGTTTTATATAAAATTTCGACAACAACTTGTTTGAAACCATTTATTTTTGGTACTCAATTTTATTTTTGGGTCTATTTTTTTGAAAGTAACATTTTACGCACGGGTAATTTACAAATTTGAGTCCGTTTTATATTTTCAAAATTCTTAAGCTTTTAAATTTAAAAATTTTCTTTTCTTGAGAAGTTATTAAACATATTTTGCGTTCTTTAGGTTTCAGCAATTGAATTTTTTTGTCAAATCGCCGGAGTAAATAGAATAATTCAACGTTTTAAATTTGAGAACTAAATAAAAAATAGATTTTTGAACAATAAATTTTTTATTTTTTTTTTTATGTAAAAATTTTTCATCAGATTGAAAGGTTTCCAAAGTAAAAATTGATGACTTCATTCATTTTCCAATATTTTGCGTTTCTCATGCTACATTTAAATTAAATTTAAATTATAATAATTAAATTGCCGACGTCATCATATAAAATAATCTAACCTTTTTTGAAATTTGAGCATCTTATCATTCAACAAGTTTGCACGATTGACTAATTAATTAGAAACATTTATTAATTAATTAATACATTTTAAATGGTTAATTATAAACAGCCTCCCAAAATTCTAGCTAATTGTTGATTGGTTAATTGCACTGCAGTGGCGGATCTAGAGTGGAGGAGAAGCGGGCGGCTTTTGGTTTCGGTAAAATTTAAAAATTTCAACATTTTTCAAATTTGGCCATCGCGCCAGCGGTGTCTAGAAGCGTACCTTGGTTATCACAAACATTCAAAAATCACGTTTTAATAGATCCACGTTTAAAACAGTCATACTCTAAAATTTGGTTTTAAATGTCTTACATGATAAACATAGAAATATTGTCTCTACTGAATGTGACTTAATCTCGACACTAAATCAAATGCCAAACCCAAAGTGCAGTTGCCCCTCGTTAAATGTTTACAAATTGTTAACCTATCAGTTAAATTGAAATAAGTCACTGTTGTTCAATGTCCGAGAAGTCATGGTGTCGGTGATAGAAGTCGATTATTAATTCTTCAAGTGAAAGTTTAGTCATCCATCTATTCATTCAAACCTTCGAACTTTTCCTATGAAATGTCTCACTTCATTTGTCTGAAATGTTGGATTGCAATTTAAACTCACTCGCTCAGACTGGTTAATTTTGTTAAAGTAATCTGACATTTTTTTGGAAAAAAATAGAAATTTTGAAAAAGTAAAAAATTATATGTATATAAAAAAAATTTTGGAATGTATGAAAATTTTAGAAAATGTTGACAGCGGTGAAAGAAGCAGGATTTAAACATTAAATTTATAAAAAGCTCCAAATTTGAAAAGAAAAATTTTGAAAAATTACGAAGAAACACTTTTCTGGGAAAGCAATCTTCTGTTTGAGATGAGAATTAGAGCTAAAGAAAAGGAAAAAAACTTTGTAGCAAAGTAATGTCGGTGTAGCATTCCATCAATTATTTTCTTAATGCATCTCTGTTTGATTCATTCAAGGCCACCTGCAGAGTTACATAACATTCTTTGAAAGAAAGTTGTGAAAATTGTTCGGGGTCCCTGTTTTTAAAATGATGTAAAAATGCTCAAAGTTGAATGAATATTTCATGTGGAATACACCAACTGATAAAATTGTCAACTTTGGTTTGTATCGTGAGGTTTTTAATTTGAAATTTTATCGCAGCTAATCTCGGGCAGTAATCTATCTTGACTCTTCGGCTCTGTTAAATCCACCGTACGCATGGTACAGAAATACGTACACAGAGTCACACAGATACACACACACACAGACGAACACACAGACGAACACACAGACGAACACACAGACGCACGCACACATACATACGCTGAAAGTCTAATTGATGGGCGTTGTCAGCCGAACGTCTAATGAGATTACCGTATTGTAATGAAGATTCAAATCTTATAACACAAAATTATCGGAAAAGAAATAAAAAAAATTAACGAAAAAATCTGCAAAAAAACTAGGTAAAGTAAAAAATATGGAAAGAGTGACTGAAAGAAAAGTTAAACAAGAAATGAAATTTATTTATCCATCCGCTGAAATGTACCGGTGTGTCGTTATTAATTTTTTCCAATTAATTCTTAATTCTCAAATGTGTTCACTCATCACGGGCATGCGTTTAAAAAAATAGAATTGAAGCAATTAGGCTTAGAAAAAATTGCAAGAAAAAACTTAACTAATTGACTCGTCATTGTCAACCTTTCTTCATATACAGACGACTTGAATGAATAGAAAAATGATGATGCAGATGATGATGCAGGTTGTGATAATAATGTTGATGATGATATTAATGAGGGTGATGATGGTGACGATAATGATGATTACAACAATGTTGATAGCGATAGAAAACTTTATAATTTAAAATGTTGATGACTTTTTTCAAAGCAGGATTTTAAATTTTTTTTTCGTCGTTCGGTGGTGTGGAAGATATACCATCCCCTCTTCCACGCGTGGATTACAATTCTTACAATTACTGATAACTCTTCTAATGTTTATGTTACTCAATGTTTATTTTGAAAAGTTTAATTAATAGAGAAATTGTAAATTAAAAAGTTAAAAATATTTTTTTACTTGATTGGATAGTTTATCGAACATGAAATAGTCCGGAAAATTTTTATATGAATTTTGTTATTAAAAAAATCTTAAAAGTTATAAATAAATGTAAGATATCCAATATAATAAATAACCATATTGACACATCGATAAATAAGTATGCATATATTTGTGTGTTTATATGTGTGCGTGTGTTTGTATGCGTGCGTAATTGTGTGTGTGTGTGTGTGTTTAAGTTTGTTTGTTTGTTTGTATGTGTGTGTGTTTAAGTTTGTTTGTTGTTTGTTTGTGTGTATGTATGTGCGTGTATCGTATCGTATCGTACCGTGTGTAAAAAAAAGTATCGTATCGTATCGTATCGTATCGTGTATGTGTGTGTTTGTGTGGCAATAAACTCGTTATATCTAGAACAAAATGGAACAAACACAATCGTGCATTAATCACATTACATCACAATGCACATCATCACCACAACACATTGCAATATAAAGTTCATGTTCATTAAATGCTCAGTTCAAAAAAAATTAAAGCATTGAAAATTAAATCTTTACAAAATTTTACAAAAGGATGATACAGATACAAGATATAGTTATACAAATATTATATGGATATAAGGATATCAATGAATCATTAAATATGATTATATATTCATGTATGTGCGCGCGTGTGTGCGCGCATGTGTGTGTGCATGCGTGTGTGTGTGTTTGCGCGCGCGTCTGTGTGCGGGTGTGTGTGTATGCGTGTGTAAAAAAGATGAAACAAAATTACAACAGAAACAAACAGCTAACGATATGATAGTGCAAATGTATGTCCATATTAATAACTTAGTTATAATAAGTTATTATTATTGTAGTTATTATTTATATTATTATTTATTTATAATAATAAAGAATATTACATCTACGAGTTACTTAAAAATTTCAAAGGAATGTCACAATGCAGTGAATGTCTTGAGCTCATTTAATGGTGTTAAAATAAAAGCAGGAAAAATATGCGATATGCGATGAATATAAAAAAAACTATAAAATCAATAATAAAATAACAATAATAAAATAAAAATAATATTAAAAAAATTATAAAATAAACAATGTTTGATTGATTGATAGATGGATGGATAGATTATGATAATGATTATGATTAATGGCAAGTTGTCCGTCGTTGAATGATTGTGTGTGTGTATGTATGTGCGTTTGTGTGTATGCTGGGCTACACATGCGCGCTGCGTGTGTATATGTGTGCATGTGCATGTGTGTATGTATGTGTGCGTGTGTGAGCATGTTTATGTGTACCTTCGTATTTGTGTGTACATGTATACGTAATGTATATGTATGTATGTGTGTGTATGTGTAGTAAATATATGTATGTGTGCATGTTTATAAGTGTGCATGCATGCATGTGTGAATGCAATGCGTGTGTAACTTGCTATGCCATCCAATATGCATTAACCCATTTAATTCATCACATACATAAATTCATATACATATATATATATATATATATATATATATATATATATATATGAATAATTAAATGAACATAAAATACAGTATAATTACACATACAATAAATATATATACTATTTATAATTATACATTAAATATTTATAATGATTATGAATAATTGAATAACAAATTATAATATGAGACCACTTGATTAATGCCTGACCGGTCACGCTTCGAGGCTAAGATGTTTTTAAGCTGATATCGTTGTTGTTGTTGTTGTTGTTGTTGTTGTTGTTGTTGTTGTTGTGTTGATGTGTTTGTTGTCGTTGTGTTTGCTGGTGATGTTTTTAGAATTTTTTTTTTCATAAAGTTGTTGTTGTTATTGTCTTTGCTGTTGTTGATGGTGTTATATTGACATGTAGATTTATATGACGTTATTCTGTGCTATGGGCTGTCTTATAAAATTACCCCGTGTAATTTAATGCTGTTGATAAATTTGTATGTGATGTTGATATTGTTGTTGCTTTAGTCGATTTTGCCGATGTTGTCGTTGTGGCAGTTGTTGATGCTGTTACTGTTGTTGTTATAGTTGTTGCTTATGTAGATTTGCTAGGTTTATCACAATTGATATTTATATTGTTCTTCCTAGAAATATTGTTTGTAACATTTTTTTTGGAAAAAAGATCACGTCTGTTAACTCTTTGTTGTTGTTATCGTTGTTGTTTTTTATATTTAAAAATGTTTTATTATTGTTTCGTTGTATAAACATCTGGAGATAATTGTCTCGTTAAAGTGCAGTATAAATATCCTATTTCAAAGCCAGTTTTTAGATACTTTTATTCTCTCACGAAATAAATTTTCTCCGAAGCTTACTCATCTTTAAGTCAGAATCCTGTATTTTTATGATGTTTGTATTATGATACGTCATGTTGTTTTGTGGTTTGTCACGCACTGTCTAGTGAATTAGCGTCTGTTCTATATTTCAAAAGATTTCACAGAACGCAGCCCAGTGGTGTCGTTTTTTCTAGCTGACGTTGCTGCAAATTTTTTGTTTCCTAATTTAGTCTTGAGATTATTTTGGTGGTTTTTGTTGATGATTGTTGATGTTGCTGTTGTTGTTTGGCTGATATCGTTTTTGTTGTTGTTTCTAACGATTGTGTTGTTGTATGGACTGTTGTTGTTGTTGGTGCTGCTGCTGCAACTTCTTGCGCTCCAATTGTTACTCATGTTTATGTTGTTCGTTGTGTTGTTGTTGCTTGTGTTGTTGTTTTGGTTAATGTTTTGGTTGTTGTTGTTTTTGTTGTTGTTGACATTTTCACATTTTTTAAGTAATCTATTTGATAGGAATTCCGTATTATCGGCGTCGTTATCGTCGTCTTCGATACATTTTCCAGAGGTTTCGTCGTTATGAGAGCTCTTTACACGCTCCGATTTGCTGTTGTTGATGATGTCATTGTTGTTGTTGCTGTTGCTGCTGATGTTGTTGTTGATGTGGTTGTTGATGTTGTTTTTATTAACGCTGACAACTTTTTTGTTCTTCTTTCTGCTTTTAATGTTGTCTTTATTCAAGCTATTTTTATTATTGTTGATTTTATTCATTTTGATTTTGTTGTTGTTGTTGTTGATGTTGTTGCTGCTGTTGTTGCAACTGCTTGTGCAGCTGATGTTGTTGTTTTTGGTGGTAGTGATATAGGGAGGAGCATTATTTCCCACATGTAGTTCCGCATCATCAGTCAGATTTGTTTCTCCGTTGTTCATGTTGGCCGGCCTCCCATTACCCCCAGCAGTTTCGCTCTGCTCGTCCAAAACATTTTCTCTGATTCTGTTGTTGTTGTTTTTGCTGTCGGTTGATTTGTTATAAATGGTTGTATCATTATTGTTGTTGTTGTTATAATTAAAGTTGTTACTATTGATGTAATTCCTTTCATTACATTTATCCACATGAGTATTATTATTACTGTTGTTGTTGTGTTTATAATCCTCATTGCTTCGATTAGCGTCGCATTCAGCTGATTGACTTTTAGAACCTTCATCCAATTTTTCTTTCAAGTTGTCGCTCAAAACCTTCACATTCTTGTTGTTGTTGTTGTTTGAAGCAGCGGTCAAGTTGGTTGTGGCTGCAGCTGCTTTCAAATGGCTGCAAGCAGCCAGAGGAATGGTGGAACGACGATTGGAATTTATCGTCAGATCTGTCCTCATGTTGTTAGCAGCGGCTACTCGGTTGTTTGTTCCTCCGTCCACGTTAGCAAAGCCTGTTTTGGCTTCAACAATGCTGGCACACGCCACCGAATTCGCCGATGATGATGGAATGACGCAACAAATTCGACAGCACCTACCAAATAAAGTTTTCTCAATAAAAACCTGACGGAAACGCGAGTTGAAAATAATGTAAATGAAGAAATTGACAGCGCTGTTGACGCTGACCATCATGTTGCCAAAGCGACTGAAGTAGTACTGGACGCCAGGGCACTCCCTCTGGTCATCGGCAAAAAAGCTCCACATGAACCTATTGATGAGGGCCGGGGTCTGGCAGAAGATGAAAACGAGGATGACGATAATGAGGACCAGGGTGACGTTGTTGTCCTGCTGCTGACGAGCACTCTGCATCTCTGCTCGCCTCTTCTTCAACTTTTTGAGTTGCAGTATGAGGAGGATGTTGAGAATGGAAAGAAGGGAGAGTGGGAGGATGAGCATGAAGATGGTGTACATGATGCTCTCGTACCCGTGCCTGTAGGCCTGGCTGAAGTAGTAGCTGCTGACGACCACGCAGAAACACTGCGCCCCATCTGCGTCGTCGGCCATGTTGTTGTAAATGTATTTCTTCCTTACGATGAAAACTTCAAAAAATTTTGGGATGTTATATAGAAGTGAGAAGGCCAAAACTCCAGACAGCTGAATTTTTGCCTGCCGTACGGTACACAACTTGGCGGTCTGGTAAGGTTTACAAACGGCAATGTATCGGTTTATTCCAACTAGAACGGTCAGCCAGACTGTTGCAGTCTGACTGACTGAAGCCCAAGGAAAGAAGACAGCGTGGACGATGAACTTGTAGCCACAATATAAATAATCCTGGAAGTAGCCGGTGAAGATGACGAACGGTTCGAAGCAGTACATGGGGATGATGGTCAGCAGTAGGACATTATCAACCACGGAGAGGCTCTGGAACAGGAAGAGCGTTGATGACGTCACATTTGTGCGCCGGAATACAACGTACGATACGGAGTTACCCACCAAGCCTATGATGCAGAAAGTGCCTGGAGTGATGGTGATGGTGGTGATGATTATGATGCAGTGATGAGGATGTGATGACGAAGATGGTGATGATGTAGGAATAATAATGATGATGACGAAGGAGGAAAATGGGAGAATAAAATAATGTAGTTGAAAGGTGATGAATGGACGATGATCGGGACAATGACAAAATTAAAATGTAACGGCCGAAAGATTTTTTTAAAGATATAGAACAGCTAAGGGCTATGTCATCGTAAATATTTTACATAGAACACTGGCAAAAAATTAAGTGTATATGTGAAAAAACTGTCTCATCAAAGTCTAAAAATTGAATCTAGAAAATGAAATAGAACGCAAAATAAAAAACACTTCCGAAATGAGATCACCTATGAAGAGCGTGTATGCGACGAAGGAGTACAACATGCACTCGTCGCCCGAGTAGTCGTCGCACACAAATGTGTCGTTGTCGATTGTGATGCTGTTGTTGTTGCTGCTGCTGCTGCTGTATCTGTTGTTGCTGTTGCTAATGTTGTTGCAGTTGTTGATGTTGTTGCTGAGACTAGTCTGGCTTGTTGTGTTAAAGACCATATTGTTGTTGTTGTTGTTGTTTTTAGTTTCTGCTTTAAAAAATTGTTAATGTTGTCAATTTGGCTGTTGTTATTAATGTTTTTTGTTGGGGTTTTTTTGTTAAGTTGTGTGTTTTATTTATAAAATTAACACAGTTGTTAATGCTGAGCTGAATTCACTTGCGATTAAATAAAATGTTTGTTTTTTGTTGAATGTGTTGTTGTTATTGTTGTTTTCGATGCTGCTGTTAATGTAATTTTTGTTAAATTGTTATTAATGTCGTCGTTGTTATGACACATGACGTTATAGAGGACGTTGTTTGCAAAGTTTTATTGTTATGATGTTAGCACTTTTTTGGGGTTGAAGCTGTTGACTCTAAGTTGTTGCGGTTGATTTTTGTTAATGTTGTTGTTGTTGTTAATGTTAATGTTGTTGATATTGATGTTACGATTGATGATGTTTTTATTTATTGTTGATGTTGTGGATGTTGATGTTGTTGTAGTTTATTGTTGATGTTGCTGACCAGCATGTGTACGCCCACTTTTTTAGTGACTTGGCTGTGTTGAGAGATTTTCAAGAGTATCAACGAATGAACCTGAAGATAAAATATTATAATTGACTTTAAAACAAAACCATTTTGAAATTTGAAATAAATAACTTTATTGAATTGTAATCTATTTTATACAATAAATTTATGTGTGAATAAATAATTAAATAAAATCTACTGAGAAATTCATTGAGAAAAGAAGCAATGATGAAGATGAGAAAACAACAAAACTTTTACTGAAAATTTTGATAATAAAGACACGAAACAAAATCAGATCTGATACATCAAATGTCCAATGTTATTTTGTAGAGGATTGTGGCACAAGAAACGCTATCTCTATGCTACGAACGATCGGTGAACGAGCGATTGAAATGAAGGAAGACTTATTTATTTATAAGACTTTTAATAGAGTGGAACCCGTGGAGCTTATGGAAATATTGAAAAATTTAGACTTTGAAAATTTAGACTTAGACTTTGGACTTTTTAGACACGAGAGTTGATGATGATTAATTTGGACGTATGTCACGTGTTGGAGGCACGTGACTTGAAATAATATTCTCGCTCCAGTTCATCCAATCATCTAAGAACTTCATTTATTTTTGTGTTTATCCGTCCATCTCTTTATCTATCGGTCAATCATTAAATTAGGTATTTTTGGCAAATTAATAAAAATGTTCGTCAAACATGTTATTATACAAAGTATTTTTTTTCTTGTTTTTTCTATCAATCAATTATCTGCTTATTTATCTATATTTGTATTTACCAATTAATCTGTTTTTCTATCTAACTACCCATCCACCCATCCATCGACTCATTCATTCATCTGCCTATTAATTCACCAATTCATCTTAATCCAAACTCATTAATCTCGACATTGAAACATCCATACGGAATAATAAAGTTAGGCGTTGCATGAATTATTAACCAAATTATTTTGAAACATTTGTCACATCCACCGAACATAAATTAAAAATGACAAAGACATATTGCAAAACCGTTTAATTTATACTTAAATCATCAATATAAAAAGAAAAATAAGTAGCATGAGTGGGACCTGAATCCGACCCCCTAAATACGACCCCCTAAATCCGACCACCTAAATCCGACCCATTAAATCCGACCCCTTAAAAAAATTACTGTTCCTAGTCACTTGTCTGCGTTCGTCTCATTGGTTTACTGGTTAATCTGCCACTGGTAATTTACTGATTGCCCTGATTGCCATATAACCACGCTTAAATTGATTTTTTAATTAATTAATTAAGTTAATTTATTTATTTAATTAATTAAATAATCAATAACATCTTTACGCTTTTCACCACTGTTTGTTTTCATAGCAACAACATCCGTGGTGAATGGTGATAACGCTGATGGTGAAGGTGGTAAGAGTGATGATGATCTTGATGATGATGATGATGATAAGTATGTTGACATTGTGAAAATAATTGATACCAATATAATGGGCTTAGTGAAAATTAAATTTGTTTTATTAAAATGAATTTAAATAATTAAACTAAATAAATGGATAGACTGATGAATGAATGAATGACAACATAGATGAATGATGGCATGAACACATGATTAAATAAATAAGTGAATGAAACAGTGAAATGACTTTATTAAAACCATGCAATCGTGAGATCTAGGCTACCAAACATGTCAAAAAATTATCTTCATTACATACGTGTTATAATTGATTGATGGTTATGACAGGCTGTCTTGTGAAAATTAACATTTTAAAAATTGAATTCATCTCAATTAAATTTAAACCTTCACAATATTTTGATTTCCTGTTGAAATTTTTTTAAATATCAACATTTTGACGAGTTATGAAAAAGATGGTTCAGAATAGAGCTGCAAGAATTGTTGTTGGTGCTAGTCGTGTTGAACATATTAGCCCACTTCTGTCGGAATTGGATTGGTTGCCGGTCAGCAAAAGAATTGTTTTTAAAGTTTGTGTTTTGGTTTTTAGATGCTTAAACGGATTGGCTCCGCAATATCTGTCCGAAATGTTGATTGACAGATCATCGATTTCTTTAAAAACTGGCCTACGATCAGATCGGGGAAATTTGTTAGTGGTTCCGGTTACTAAATTAAAGATTGCATCACGTAGTTTTGCAGTTTATGGACCAAGGCATTGGAATGAACTTCCACATTTTTTGGTTTGACACTTCCCCAGTTTAAAAGTCAATTGAAGACATATCTTTTTTCTTTGTAGAAAATTGCCATAGTTGTAAAGCGCATATGAGAATGTTTTTAATAGGCGCTATATAAATGATCATATAATAATATATATATATATATATATATATATATATAGAACCATACATAACTACTAAGTTATTTTCCAACTTTCCAAACTAATAACTTAATATAACATGTAAAATTGCATATAACGCAATGATGGCCTTAAAATAGGACACCATGACTTAGAGAGATTTGGAATTTTTTTTGGAAAAATCAACGAAACACGTTTGCAAAAGTATGTTACTCTTGACATATACAGATTAGTAGTAGCCATTGATATTAATTGAAGCTGGAATGAAATGCGACTCTAACAAATATGCTAGCCATCAATAAATATCACCAACGTATCTAATGGATGATGACCACGATGATGACGAAGAAGATGGCGATGTTATTGGGATGATGATGACGTGATGAAGATGATGCTGTGTGTGATGAAGATGATGCTGTGATGAAGATGATGTTGTACTGAAGACGATGCTGTGATGAAGACGATGAGTGATGGAGACGATGAGTGATGAAAATGATGAATGATGAAGACGATGAGGGATGGAGATGATGAGTGAGGAAGACGATGAGGGATGGAGATGATGAGTGATGAAGACGATGAGTGATGAAGACGATGAGTGATGAAGACGATGAGTGATGAAGACGATGAGTGATGAAGACGATGAGTGATGGAGATGATGAGTGATGGAGATGATGATGGCAAGTCCAACTTTGTGCAAGTCCAATTGTCAAATGTCAATGTCCATATGGCATTCATCCATGATGTGGAACTAAAAATAAAATTTTCAATCTTCATCAGTGTTGTTAAAATTTTTGAAGAACAACTTTTTTGGCATAAAAACTGGCCCAGCATTGTATATGTTACGTAATTTTTTATCATGTATTTTAAACGAAACCCCTTTAGATTCTATTTCTGATAATAATTCATTTTGAAATGTAAATAAGTTCTGAGGAAAAACATTGTGACTGACAATAGTCTTAAAATAGAAAAAATTTTAAGTTGCAGTTGAAGAAAAATAATTTCATTGGTACTTACCGTTAATGTATTACTTGAGTGACAATTTACTAGAAGAAAATGCGTCACTTAATGCGAAGGTAGTTGAATTGTGTGTACTAAGATGACCGCTAAGTAATTTTATCTAAAAATTATGGAAATAAAAATTAGTACGTGTCTATGTGTGTTGTGTCTGTGTGAAGCTGTGTATGTATGTATGTTTGTGTGTTGTGTATGTGCCTGTGTTGTATGTGTGTCTGTGTTGTATAAGTTTGTGTGTGTGTATGTGTGTGTGTATTTGTGTGTGTGTGTATGTGTGTGTGTGTATGTGTGTGTGTATTTGTGTGTGAATACATGTTTCTTCAGTAGCGTGGGTGTTGGCAGAACATGAAAATGCAATGCAGCAAATAAATATAAGAAGATTTATGATTGGGTTTGTCGCAAATAGACAGGGCAAACAATGGAGGTGCTGAGAGGAACCAAATGTTGGGAACTTTTCATAAAAAAACCACGTGTGAACGTCGTTAATGTATGACTGAACCCTTTTTAAATGTTTACAATCAGAGAAAAATTTTTGGTTTATTTCACATCTTTTCATTATTTTTAATACTTATTTATTTGGTTTATTTAATTTATACTAAATTTATCAAGTTTGTTGGACATTTGTAAATTTATTTACGAAGATAATATTTGAAAAACATTTTCGAAGTTTCAAAAATTAAGATGCAGATGTCAATGAATTTTTTTTAATTATTTTTTAAAATTTAAGCAAAATAATTGAAAAATTCAGTTTCGTTTCATTTCAGTGTAATGTTTTTGCTTTTCTCTTTTTCATTGAACGGAAATTATGTTTTAATATGTTTTCAAATTTTCAACTCGAACTTAATATTTAGTAAGCTTTAAAAAAATGTTTACTATTTGAAAAAAATCAATGAAATAAAAGAAGCACATGAACAAAAAAACAAAATAAAATAAATTCAATCCAAAATATGTAACAAAATAATTTAAACAATAGATAGATTGATAGATAGAATGATAGATAGATAGGCAGGCAGGCAGACAGAAAGACAGATAAAAAGACAGACAGATAGATAGATAAAGAGAGAGAAAGAGAGAGAGAGAGAGAGAAGGAGAAAAGAAGAGAAAGAGAGAGCAAGAGTAAGAACCATTGAACTAGACATTAGGCTAAGCCATTGTCATACTTTCTGATGACTTGCGACTAATTGT